CTGTCTTCAGTGGCAATATATAAGATCTAATATGTGTATTTTTACAGTATAATTGAAGGAACATTGCTATCTTGGCATAAACAACTAAAGCATTAACAAATGTGCATGATTCAGAACAAAGGACATGTTATTTCAAACACAAGATCAAAGAGATGTCCAGTCACATTTCAAAGTCAACAAAGCACAAAATCTGTTTACAGTTTAGCTCATATGAGCTAAAGCTGTAGTAAAATTTTGAAAATTCACCCATTATCATCTTTATCTTAAATTCTTCAGAATTTCATTTCCTTCTCAGAACAACTGGACAAAGTTAAGTTAAACTTGGCACAGAGCATTCTTTAGTGTAGATTTCTGTGATTTAGTGATTTTCATAGGGTCACATTGACCAGCATTTTTCTCAAAATTGCTTTTAGACAGAAACATAATATTTTCAGTGATGATAGAGCTACATGTGCTGATGTGACACATACCTCTCTCTTTCTCCGGAAGTGCAGCACGTCGGCGCTCGCTATGGCTTGTAAAAAATCCCATCGGGGATTTAGAAAATGTTCACACCTTTTCTGCAATATCTTTTTACATGTTAATATTTTGTAAAGACATTAAGAACAAAAGTTGTGAAGAATATCACGATCTTTCAAAGGATATCAACTATAAAGGGCTTGCCCCTATAATTAAGGACTTAGAGGAACCAAAATTTTTTCCTTAATATCTGGAAAAAAAAAATTTGAATTTGTAATACGTCAAAGAAGCAAAGTTGTTCAAAATGTCAAGCTTAATCTATTGAATTCGTCAAAATGCGTCTGGTGACGTCGCTTCCGGTCAAACCGAAAGTCATCAGAAAGTGCATATTTTTGTCATTCTTGACAAGGTTTTGGGTAACATATATCACTGAAGGCATTAAACTTAATTTTTTGTCAATTCACATCACTTTTGGTCAAACCAGAAGTATCCAAAAAAGCTTATTTTGAAGGTTTTGACTCAAAATTGAAATTATAAAGTCACTGGAGACAACTTAGCTCATTGCTTTCTTTTTGTTGACGTCACTTCCGGTCAAAACAGGACGGAAGACCTACTCGTTGCTTTGCAACGAGCTTTGCTCTAGTTATGTCGCCCCGAACGAAGTCGGGGACGACATATTGATATTGTACGCATGTTTTTTTTATCCAGGCTGTTTCTCGGAGATGGCTGGGACAATCTTCCTGAAACTTTCCTCAAAGGACGATCACTGGTTGTAGTTGTGCAGTGAGGTTGTTCAGTTCCAATATGTCTACCGTTGCCATGGAAACCTGTAAAAAGCGACAAATTTTGTCCGAGAGTGTTCTCTCTGGTCCCTTAAACGTTCGTCATGAAACTTTTCTTATTTTAATGATTAGTATCTGTAGTTATGCAACTCGCATTTAAAATTTTCAAATAATCGATTATTACCATGGAAACCAGGTGAAAGTTAAAATTCTTTAATTTCGATTTTCTCAATAACTACGCAGGCAATCGTTTTGAAACTTTCAGTGTTTATTCCTTGCAATGTGTCAAAGTGATTTCTCCTTTTAAAAAAAATGTAATGAGTCGCTCACAGTTGCCATAGAAACGAAACAGAAAAAAAGATTCAGATGTACACATGTGTTCTCCAAGGTCTAGGTCAAAGGGTCAAAGTTCTTGGTGTCCAATAAAAGTTCTTTTCACAAGGATTACATATTTGAAATACGAAAGCCCTAGCCATTACCGTTCAAACGTAAGATACTATGTTCAAGACACCCCCCCCCCCCCCTTGAAGCGCACTGCCAGGTAGAATACACAGATACTACATATACAATTTACAGGTAACGTTTTAAAAGTTTCATTCATAAAATTCAGTTCTCCTGATGTGATTTGATAGTTTGCCAACAGTCATTCTTCTTTTGTCTTGTCTCTAGATTTTATAATTATTTTGTTTTTTCTATATAAAAAATAACGATCGTCAACTTCATTTATTAGCATTTCGCGTTTTTTGGTATATCTATTACTTGTATATTACTAATTTCATTAAATAGTGCAAGAATAAATTAGAAAATTGGTACGTTATTTCCATAGTTTTTATTCATTCATAAATCTTTGGATCCGCTCCTATACAGGTGCGCTAAGCCTTGATCACTACTGTAAACAAAACATTCATCTCGCCGAAAATGTTCATGATTCCGCTAAACTGAGAAAGTTTACACATGATTTATCATCCCATAAGAAACATCAGACCTGTACAGTGCAGAAATGCTCGAATTGAAGGTGGCATGTCAGATTCGTTTTCCGGCAGAACCTCTACAAATTAAAGTGAAAGTAGGGAATTTTCTGAATTCTCACTGGCGTTTTAATACACAAAATAATTCGGCTGATCTTCTTAATAAATAATATTTGCCAAGCTTTTTTGGTAGGAAAGATACTGCCAATTAACAAGTATGAGGCTCAGTGCAGTACATCTGCCCAATTTCTTGTATGCAAGTCTGCAATTTTGGACTTGTAATTCTTTTCCTGCACTACTTTCTTCTCCTACAGATTCTAAAAATAATGAGTGGGATGTACCCAATTAAGGTCTTCCGTTTCTAACGGAAAGAACTGATCATACGACTGGATGGTTGTCAAAGCTTAGCTAATGGACCATTGTTTTAGTGATTATAAAAATGAAAGTCTTGTCCAATACGGGGCGACATATGCTATTGCTTGCAATAGCAGACTTTCTAGTTATTATTATTTTTCTTCTTCTTCTTCTTCTTCTTCTTCCTGGGTACTTTTTTGTCCGGGAGTGATCTTGTAAACTGTTCGTCCGATGTAGGTAAAACCTTTTTAGGGTCAGTAGACATGTTATGTAGATTTGCGGAATCAAGGTCATTTTGCGCGCACGTGCTTGCAAGAGCGTGCACGTGCAACACGTGAAATGACTAATATAATGGATATTGCCGTAACTTTTCTATTTTTTGATGAAATTTTTTGAAACTCATAATGTAAGGATACATTAGAAGTATAGACAAGATAGCATGGTCAAAATAGCAAGATCTCACGCGCATGCACGTGCGCTTCGCTCTGATTGGCTGAAACTAAAGTCTCAATATCTTTCTTGTTTCTTGTCATAATCCTTTGAAATTTTGAGCATAGTGCTACATTATGAAGATCTACAGCATGATATAAAAGAATTTTCATAAAAGCATGCGCATGTGCGCGTGCTGCAATCTGATTGGCTGAAACTTTAAATGGCTATATATCCTTTGTTTTTTGACAAAATTCTTTGAAATTTAAAATATAGTCATGCATTAGGATAACCTACAATATCGTAGAGAAAAAAATCATGAAATCACGCACATGCATGTGTGCTGCAATCTGATTGGCTGAAACTTGAAATGGCTATAACTCCCTTGTTTTTCTACCGAACCGGATGGGATTTAGAACATAGATCGATGTAAGGGACTCCTACAAGAAGGTATGGTCATCATGCACGTGCACGCACGTGTGTGCATTTAGAACGAGTAGAATTAAAAATACACTTGAATGAGTGATTTTTATTACTTTTGGATGGAATGCTTTAATATATAGTATATTAAAATATATAGATAGTGTAGACAAGATGATATGGTCATAACTCACATGCATTCACATGCGCTGGGGTGCAATGCAAAAATTTAAATATAATTGGTATCCTTTTGGGAAAACGTTGTTAAAAGCAAAAATGCACAGAGTTTGTCTTATTTAATGAAGCTTACAGGGAATATGGCACCAAAAGGGAGTTGGGAAGCGTTTGGGGAACATCTGTAACGGTTCCCGTTACAACTAGCACTAGTTTTATCAGTCATTGATTTCAATGAATGGGTTGCCTTGGTTAATAAAAATAGAAATTTCTGTGAAATATTATTGAAATCACGTTTAGATTATATGCCTACACTCACTGTAGTTGTAATTTCTGCGATGGCTTCAAGATTGGACCCTATTTTGCCTATGTTAATTTGACGATATGAAGAATGACTATTGTTGCTAATTAGTTTGTGGTTTCTGTATACATATATGAAAGTTGTTTACATATATTCATTGTGAAAACGTCCAAACAATCTCGCTTACATATAGTAAGAGAAAGTGCAATTGACTTTTCTAGGTGAAAATGGATATACGTTAGCCGAGATTTTCTCTCTTTGTTCGTGCATTAAAGTTCTAATTTTGGAAAACTAAACAAATATTTATTTTGTAGATTCAATACTAGAAATAACATTTTTTGGCCTCAACAAAATAAATATAAGACTGGAGCAATATCTCGATTTTTATTTCAATATCTACCATTACATCCTGATTTTTTTGGGGTGTTTGTAATAAAGGGTTAAATCTACAGTCAGGGGCGTAGCAACCGGGGGGGCCTGGGGGGGCCTGGACCCCCCACTTTTTTCCCAACCTTACCTATACTATAGCAAATGTTAATTGAAAACCTGGTTGCCCCCCCCCCCCAGTTTTAGTGATGTACCGAAAATGAAGTATTAGAATTGGTACTGAAAGTAGTTGACACTGAAAAAAAGTAAGCCTCCCCCCCCCCCCCCCCCCCACGAAATAGGATTTTCGACTTTGGGCAATTTTCAACTTTCCCCCCCCCCCCCTTTTTTTTTTTTTTGCTTGTCAACTTTTTCAGGTAAGTAAAAATAAATTTTCTCCGGCTGGCCCCCCCACTTTCAAAAAAGATGCTACGCCACTGACAGTAATCAAATATCAGCTGACAATCTTAAAAATAAAGTTGGTCGAGAAATACCATGGTTTTAAAAAATCGACAGAATTATTAATCCTTAATTCTTTGTGTATTTCAGAAATGTTTATAATGGAATTTACCAAATGCCCTTTACATAGGTGACTATTGACAATTTCTAAATCGTAGCGAACAGGTATTTTAATAAGAACCCACGTTGAAGCTTTGTCCAATGAAGCGCGTCCTCGCCGAAGATGACAGAAAGTAAAGGTTAAATGTTAATTTTATTTCTAGCATAAATTGACGAACAGAAGTGATTTTCTTGCTTCACCTGACATGTGATATAGTTTAAAATAAAACTGCAGTCTTGATCAATAAAAATGCACGGCCTGTTGTGAGCGTCACTAGCGATACCTGCGGCACTGAACAGTTCAAGGTGTATTCTGCTGTTTGTTTGTTTTTATTTCATTTAGTGGAAGTTAAACAATACTTCAGAAATACTTTACGGAAATATTTGAATTTTGTTTTACGGAAATTCACATTCGTGGCCCCGAGTGAACCCCTGACGCTGTGTTTTAAGGGTAGCCCACTTTCCCTGTCAATCAAAACAGTCTTATCCGAAATTAATTCAAAACCGGTTTTGGCGAATTTCTAAACTGCTATATTTATTTCTGCTGGATCATTGAAGGTTGCGATGATAAGATGTCTTTGTCAAAAGACGAGAATAAATATGATAAATTTATCTTCTAAATATCTTTCCAGAGACTGCATCTAAGAAGAAGTGACATTTTGGAGAGCGGTGTTCCTTGAAAAGAGATCCTGGATTGTCGTTAGTGGCTGTGTGCTAACAGAAATATTAAACGACTGACACGACTTCACATCTGTGATAAACGTGAAACAAATAACTATGGATAAAGAGTATTTAAAGAAAAAGGCCTGGTACCTGGGGGAATGGCGTCAAAGTGTTTTAGCGGATACCGTGATCAACCAAATCCAACAGCTGGTTAAGGGAAAGAAAGGCAAAAATGTCAAACTGTGCATGGCCAGGGATGGAATCCGTGTTTTTGTGTCAAACCTACTACAGGGTAAGATTCTGTACGATCATGTACCATTTACTGACCTGTACTTCATGACTGTTAATCAGCACAATCCCAGTTGTCTATTGGTGATCGCAAAAGACCCGAGACACAAGTACCGAATTCTGGCGTACCGCTGTGAGAATTCGTTGGATGCTGGGCTTTTTATACAGTATTATAGAGACGTGCGCAAGTCTATGACATCAGTGGAAGGGTATAACATTGAATTAAGAAGGTCAGACGAAGGAAACTGGACATTGAGATCTAAACAACACGAGGATAACAAGCGACAATTAAAGACTATAGTTAACATGCAGACGGGAACTGCACAACCAAATGGAGGTATTCAAAACTCACATACAAAGGTAGCGATCGTTAATGGACAGTCGAAACCTGACGAAAACAGAAACACAAAAATGGTGATTCAAACTCGCGCAGAAAAGTCGCCACCCTCATCTCCAAGAGAGAAAGTTATCCTGGAAAAAGTTTACAGAAAAGGTAAAAGTCAGAACAATATCGGAATCCAGGCATCCGGTCCAGGAACAGAGAGATATTCTGACAATGTGTCCGAGACCTCGGATTCCAACCAATCATTCCAGAACGAACTTAACTATCTATCTAACGAACTGCGAGAAATAAAATTCATGCTAGAGAAATCCACAGGAATAAGTGCTGAAGTTTTCCATGACAAGAGTGGTAAGGAAATTCAGACTGAGTCATTTCGGACAGAACCTGATACCGAGTTGACGGTGAACAAGGCACTGGAGCCAATCGATGCCGTTGTCAGAGATGAGGAAGAAGAAGAGGTTAAACTGAGGGAAGTCCAGAACGACGACGGCCCAAAGGTCCGCGTGTCTGTACCCGACTATCGAAGTTTAGGAGTCCAAGCGTCATCGAAAACTCTCCCTCCACCCCCGGAAAAGCGCGCTGCGACACTGCCAGCTACTTTCCGACAGACACAGCCGGACGGCCCGGAATTACTGCGGGCGAGCACAACAAATTACCAGTCTTGGAAGGATGACGTTATGCTACGTGGTCGAGTGGGTCGTTCAACTAGACCAAGAACAGCTTTATACAGTACCAGCAGCTATACAAGCACTGACGGAAGTATAAAGGGAAGTTTACGAGGGGCTCCGAATGGAGTTCATGTTCATTTTGACAGTGCAGTCCCTAAAGGATCCGTTGTTTACAGGAAAAAAGCAATATCCACCAACGTCCAGAAGCCTATCGAGAGGGTGTACCAGCGCCCTCACTCGGTCCATTCTACAGGTCGACCCTATGTTGTTCACCATCACCACCACCACAGGGGACCAGTTTATCAGGCCGCGGTACCAGCCACACTGGACCTGAATCAAAATAAGGTGAACGAAGCGGTCATAACTAATGGCCATTCTCCCTCTTCACCAAGATCTTCCAATGGAGCGGGATTCTTTATCCGAACGTGATTCCAACAAGGTGCTTGTACAAAATATTGTTCATAATACGTGTATGGACATTTCAATTCCGTGAACCGTGTATGGATGCGAACGGTTATTTCAGGACTGTTTCTTGTAAATCTATTAAATCAGGATGCATTTACTTATCTAGTGAAGTGAACGTACACACGTTACGTTGGACGGGATTTTTATTAGGTTGAAATCTGAATTTTGGATTTTTACTTTGCAGAAACATTGCCAGAACTTGTCAAGGCCAGTTGCGTGTTTTTGTTTGCAATTTAAAAACTGATATTAAAATCAAATCGGGCATTCAACCTTTGACTGGGGATATTTTGATTATCTGTTTATGATGGTTGTACTGCAGACAGACGTTGTTTAGTGCGTAGCCCTAATATCGGGTATCAAAGATTTTACGGCTCTCCCGCGAAAAGTACACTTATCATTGTATTTAAAAAATGGGGTATAGATTGTTTAGTTTCTTTTTGGGGACCGTGAACGATTACCTATACAATTCTCTACATACCTTAGTGGTCTTCAAAGGCCTTCACTAAGTTCTTCAAACTTTAATGGTCAACTGATAAATTAAATATAGGAAAATACTAGCATCACATTGCTCACATTTAGAACATTATTTTCATTGTAGATGGAAAAAATATAAGAAATTTTTAAGTTATAATGTTTAGTGAAATTTTTATGTTTGTGGTTTTTGTATTTCTAACCAGCACTTATTAAATCTGAGAATAAGATTTAGTTCTTTGGAAGAATTAAAATCCGACCACAGAAATATTTTGCCTATTCCTAAGTCCTTAGCCTGAATGGCTTATTTTTTTCTAATACACAATCTATCAACAGTTTATCGTATTATCAGCTGTGTTGACACTTCATACAATTTAATCAATCTAATTCTTAATTGTAGGTTTATATATTATCTGCTGAATTTATTATGAAGAAATGCATTGTATTATTACAAATTGCTTTGCTTTGTGTAATTATATTACATACATGTATTGTGTAATCAAATATATGGTTTTCAAATGTTCAGAGGATTTACATTAAATTGTATACAATGGATTATTTTAATCTTGCTTTCAGTGCAATGTAAATTATTTTGACGTGTTATCGTACTTTCACGTGATCATTAGTCATTACTGCCCAGGTAAATGAATAATAATTTTCACAGCTGTTGTGCACTATGGATGAAAAGTTCATTTTTGAAGTTTATATCAGTATTTTTTTCTAAGATGACGATTCGACAAAAGCATGATACAGAGACAGAGTCAATAAATGCATATATTTATTTTGTGTGTTCTTGATCGTAGATGGAACCAGAAGCATTTGGTTAAGTTATTGGTCTAAATTTGTGGAAAGCCTAGAAGCCCTGTATGATTGATTGTCAATCTTTATCGGAGATATTCTTCAAGAGCTTATACACTGTACATAAAGACTTCACCAATATACCATAAACAGAGATCTGTGATCTAAGAATACCCTCCTCGGTCTCTTAATAAATATAGTGAGAGGGTACATTGAAATGGAGAAGTAGACCTGTTCTATGACACAAGCCCATTACTCGATCCCCGCACGGTGGGTACTGTGGCCTGTAGAGAGTAACAATGGAGGACCGGTTCTGTCGCCCTGTGGATCATTTAACCCCTCCTCTGACTCATCCTAGACAAGATCTCGGTCCATTAGAGGCCCGCTTTATACACTGACCCTCGGTAACCGCCATCAGGGGGCACACTAATGACCGCCGGTCTTGGCAGATGAACGGAGATAATCCTATATGATCTAGCACAATACGATCACATAAACACACATGGGACAATTTTAAAAGCAAACGTATTAAGTTTTACAGTCCTAAATTTTTTTACTCTTTATAGGCAATTGGATTTCATAAACATTTTAAAATTTAGAGTTCTACCTTTATCATCAGCTTGGTGTACAGGGTGGAGTACATTTGTAAAACTTTTCAGGGAAGCGTAGACAATAATGTAAAACACCTTTGTGGTCAGAATCACCTCACATTGGAAGGCGAGACACGTCTCCACATGAACATGGAAATTAAGCTTACGGTCTGAAGCATATCCTTTTATTCTGCTGCATGGTTTCTTGAGGCAAAATGCATTTAGAATTTTTAATTTCTGATAAATACCAAAAATATTTAACACCTGCCGCCACGCCTACCGAGCTAAACCGCCAGTTCGATTGATTGACAATGCGGTCAAACCATGGCCAACTATTGTTAATTCTTTGAGTTATTGCCAGTTTAAGGATGAGGGTATTTGTTAAAGATTCATTTTAATACACCGTAATTCTTTTTAAGAACTTTTGAGACCTATATAATCTCTATAAAAACACATTTATAAAATAAAAAAGGTATATCTTCGTTAAAATTAACAAGTTTTAATTTGTATTTGAAAGACAACAATTTGGTATAAAGCATATGACAAATTCTTATTAACACCAATTACAAGAGGCCCATGGGCCACATTGCTCACCTGAGAAGCTTTGACCATTCTGTTCTTTACGAGATTTCACCCTTGTTATACATAATGCATCCCCACCCTACCCCACTGATCATAATTTAGACATTTTGAAATCTACACTACCCCATGATCCTTCCATGGGCACATATGTTTCAGCTTTTTTGGCCCAGTGGTTCCTGAGAAGAAGATTTTCAAAGATTTTTCCTATATATTTCTATGTAAAACTTTGATTCCCTATAATGGCCCCGCCCTTCCCCCGGGGGACATGATTCCTACAATTTAGAATTTACACTACCCCAGAATGCTTCCACATAAGCTTCACTTTTTCTGGCCCAGTGGTTCTTGAGAAGAAAATTTTCAAAGATTTTTCCTATATATTTCTATGTAAAACTTTGATTCCCCAATGTGGCCGTGCCCTTACCCCGGGTGTCATTATTTGAACAATTTAGAATCTACATTATACCAGGATGCTTCCACATAAGTTTCAGCTTTTCTGGCCTGGTGGTTCTTGAGAAGAAGATTTTCAAAGATTTTTCCTATATATTTCTATGTAAAACTTTGATACCCCATTGTGGCCCCGCCCTTCCTCTGGGGGTCATGATTTGAACAATTTAGAATCTACACTATACCAGGATGCTTCCACATAAGTTTCAGCTTTTCTGGCCCAGTGGTTCTTGAGAAGAAGATTTTCAAAGATTTTTCCTATATATTTCTATATAAAACTTTGATTCCCCATTGTGGCCCCGCCCTTCCCCTGGGGGTCATGATTTGAACAATTTAGAATCTACACTACCCCAGGATGCTTCCACATAAGTTTCAGCTTTACTGGCCCAGTGGTTCTTGAGAAGAAGATTTTTTAATGACCCCACCCTATTTTTGTCTTTTCTTGATTATCTCCCCTTGCGAGGGGATATGTCCCTTCATTTTAACAATTTAAATTTCCCTTCACCCAAGGATGCTTTGTACCAAGTTTGGTCAAAATTGGCCCAGTGGTTCTTGAGAAGAAGTCGAAAATGTGAAAAGTTTACAGACGGACAGACAGACGGACAGACGGACGGACCGACGGACAGACAGACGGACGGACGACGGACAAAATGTGATCAGAAAAGCTCACTTGAGCCTTCGGCTCAGGTGAGCTAAAAAACAAATGAAATGCAATATATTAAACCACTTATTCAGGGAATTCGAATAGAAGGTGCGCGGATGGACGCTGATTTAATTATAACAGACTTTATTTTTTTTTTATTAAAATATCAATAAAATTCAGCTACAAGACAAACCGTCAGCCTTTGATCAATCCAATAGTATACAGTACAAGACGTGTTTGTGAAACACTGTGATGCCCCCGTATGGCAGCTTATGGCGAAGGTTAAAGTATGTCAAATGCAGGTAAAACTCCAAGGTCAAGGTCAAAAAGTCAAAATTGTTGGTATCCAAAGATCTTGTCAGAAGGAATGCACCCGGCCCGTGAAACATGAAAACCCTAGTACTCTCTGTTCAAAAGTTATGGCCAAGGTTAAAGTTATTTAAAAGTTTATCTAAATCTGAGGTTAAGGTTAAAAGGTCAAAAATATCTATTCCCATTGAAAGGTCTCCTCAAAGTGAATACACATGCGAAGTATGAAAGTATGACAGCCTTAGCACCAACTGTTCAAAAGTTATGGCCAAGGAAAAAGTTTTTTTTATTGTCAAATTGGGTCAAACTTTCAAGGCCAAGGTCAAGAGGTCAAATTTGCTGGTACCCAAAGAAAAGTCACAAGGAATAAAGCTGTGATGAAATATGAAAGCCATAGCCCCATCCATTCAAAAGTTATGTGCAAGGTTCAGTCAAGTCTTTGCGGACAAATAAATAGACAGACAGAGAAACAGACAGACAGATAGACAAGGCAAAAAAATATATACCCCGAAATTAATGATTAATGTGCCATAATTATACGTACAATCAGATCCCTGTAGACAGAGAGCAGAATGTGTCTGTAGCAAAGGGATCTATAGACGTACATGGATCTCACTCAGAGAACCATGCGTGGATCCAGGAACTTTTCCAGGGGGGGGGGGACCCTAGTCAAAAGAAATTTCAAGCCAAGAAAATAAAAAACCCGACATAAATTCATTTCCCAAACGTAAAAAACCTATATCCTGGGGGTGGTTTGGGCCGGGGAGGGGGTTAATCTTTGACTTTCAAGATTCAGACCTATGTCTTTTCATACCAATTTCACATAGAGGGAGGGGGTTCCAATGTCACTTTTACTTGATTTAGTATATGCATACAATAATTTGCAAATTCACGGGGTGGGTGGGATCCGGACCCCCCCCCCCCTCCAATCCCCTTCTAAATCCGCGCGTGCAGAGAACATTATGAGATTGTAGCGTAGGGATAGACGTATTAGTCTAGAATCGCATTTGGAGAAGCAAGCTTAAGATTTGTTGGTAGCATAGGGGTAGAAGTATAACACTCAGAGAGAAATATGTTTCTTTAACATACTGAAAGGCATATCTTAAATCAATCACGGCGCAATATGTGTCTTTAGAATGGGGTAGACGAATCTCACTAAGAGAGAACATACTAATAAATAAAACTCACTCAGAGAGCAAGATATGTCTTAAGAATAGATTGGCGTATCTCACTCAGAGAGATAAGGTGTATGTAGCAAAGGAGCAGGTGTATCTCAATCAGAGAGATTAGGTGTGTGTAGCATAGGAGCAGGCGTATCTCACTCAGAGAGATTAGGTGTGTGTAGTATAGGAACAGCGTATCTCACTCAGAGAGATTAGGTGTGTGGAGCATAGGAGCAGGCGTATCTCACTCAGAGAGATAAGGTGTGTGTAGCAAAGGAGCAGGCGTATCTCACTCAGAGAGATTAGGTGTATGTAGCAAAGGAGCAGGCGTCTCTCACTCAGAGAGATTAGGTGTATGTAGCATAGGAGCAGGAGTATCTCACTCAGAGAGATTAGGTATGTGTAGTATAAGAGCAGGTGTATCTCAATCAGAGAGATTAGGTGTGTGTAGCATAGGAGCAGGCGTATCTCACTCAGAGAGATTAGGTGTGTGTAGTATAGGAACAGCGTATCTCACTCAGAGAGATTAGGTGTGTGGAGCATAGGAGCAGGCGTATCTCACTCAGAGAGATAAGGTGTGTGTAGCAAAGGAGCAGGCGTATCTCACTCAGAGAGATTAGGTGTATGTAGCATAGGAGCAGGCGTATCTCACTCAGAGAGATTAGGTGTGTATAGGAGCAGGCGTATCTCACTCAGAGAGATAAGGTGTGTGTAGCATAGGAGCAGGCGTATCTCACTCAGAGAGATCAGGTGTATGTAGCATAGGAGCAGGAGTATCTCACTCAGAGAGATTAGGTATGTGTAGTATAAGAGCAGGCGTATCTCACTCAGAGAGATTAGGTGTGTGTAGCAAAGGAGCACGCTATCTCACTCAGAGAGATAAGGTGTGTGTAAGAGCAGGCATATCTCACTCAGAGATTAGGTGTGTGTAGCATAGGAGCTGGAGTATCTCACCCAGAGAGATAAGTTGTGTGTGTATCAAAGGAGCAGGTGTATCTTACTCAAAGAGATTAGGTGTGTGTAGGAGCAGGCATATCTCACTCAGAGAGATTAGGTGTGTGTAGCATAAGAGCAGGCGTATCTCACTCAGAGAGATTATGTGTATGTAGCATTGGAGCAGGAGTATCTCACTCAGAGAGATTAGGTGTGTGTAGTATAGGAACAGCGTATCTCACACAGAGAGATTAGGTGTATGTAGCATATGAGCAGGAGTATCTCACTCATAGAGATTAGGTGTGTGTAGTATAAGAGCA